CATTTGTAATGCCTATAACTGAATCCCAGGAAACTTGTGCACACTGCCTTCAGACTTAACACACCACATTCTCAACACTTGACCCTGAGCATGTTGCATAAGATGGGATGTTGCTAAGCCAAAGTGTTTTAAGTTATGAGGCAGAACCTAGAGGTGATATTTTAAAATGCCTTTGTGAACACACTCACCGGAATCCCATCAATGCCAACAAAGCCAGGAACTCCCATGGGACCCTAAAAATAGGAGTAGGGAGAGGAAAGTTAAAGATAATCCAATTGACCTCCATTTGATTTAGTGAATTTTTCATTTAATTCATGACCTAAGTTGTTAAGAAGCCTTTTGTACCTCCTCTTCCACATTGCTCCCTACTCCAGTTTGAAGTGATCACTTGCCTCTACCTGAAGTCTCAGACCCATGTGTATTATGAGATCAGTTCTTGTCTTAGGCAATGTGGTGTAAGATCCAAAAGTCTATCCTGCCCTGATATCTGGCAAACCAGGAGGGCCTCAAGTGTTCTATCCACAAGTCCCCCCCACCCTGCTCCTGTAGATAAGGTCTCCTAGGCAAATGACCATCCTAATCCAATAGACCAGATACAGTTCCTGCTTATCCCTGAGCAGTGGGTTTTAGTTCCCTGCTGGCCCATTGAATTAGTCAAACAAGCCAATCACATTCTCCCTCAGAAACCAAGGGATATCTCACCTTCTTGACACTACAAAATCTGCCTCACATGGCCACTTCTGGTTTATTCTGATCCCAAGGGCAACCCTTGTGTGGCCCTCCATAGTATGCAGTGTACTCCTCCCCTGTGCTGGGAGTATATGCAACTAATAAATCTTTGTCCATTCCTCTGTTCAATGTCAGGTGTCATATTTTTGGCCATCCCCAGAGCCATAGGGTGGGAGCCCCTCCCCCACCAATGGGGTGAAGAGGAGGTGACAAGGACACATATGTAATACCTTAATCAATAAAGAAAGAAAAAAACCAACAGGGAACATAAACTGAACACTAATCTCAGTCAGTCAGTCACCATGACATGACCAATCTCCTTACCTGCATATATTTTCCTATATTTGTGGCCCAGATTGCTTCGAAGCATTTGAGCCCTTGCTTCCAAATCGCCTTGCCTTGAATTCCTAACCTCTACTGCCCAGATGATTAGACTTTTCACTCACACCCAGTTGAAACCAACATGACTTCACACCACAGTGAGCCCACTTGTCTATCAAGTAGCTAATACATGCACTTTATGGTTTGCTTCTCATGAGGTCTCTCCAGAATTGGGCTGATCCATTAGTAGTACACCACTCAGCCTGTCTCTTATTAAAACATGTAGACCAGCATCACAGTATTCAGGATTAGTGTTATTTCAACAACAGAACTGAGATTTAGAACCTTTTACCTTCATACTTGTGACCCATAAGTCAAAGAAAAATCAAGCTTTGGTGCTCCTACCTTATCTCCTTTTGGTCCATATGTTCCCAGAGGGCCTGGGGAGCCCCTTTCTCCTTTGAACCCTGATAAACCACTAGGGCCAGCAAATCCTTGAGGACCTGTTTGACCTTGAATTCCAATGGGTCCTGGTTGCCCCTAAGATGGACAGAAGGAGTATAATTAGTTACCAGAGGACTTAACATCAACACTTCTCATTTTCCCATGCACAAAAAACACTGTCATCACGTCATTAAATAATTTTGGCTTAGAGATCTGTGAAGTATGCCAAAGTTCCAGACACAGATCAGAAAAGGCTATTTTAGGGGCTGCTAAAATTATTTGGATAGAACATATTTTATAAGCACATTTAATAAGATTCATGTGCACCAATATCCTTCAACTTTGTACTTCTTAGGAGATTAGTTACTCAGGCTGGGTAATATTGTCTGCTTCGTAGTTAATGCCAGGTCATCCATCAGATTGTCAAAATGGCAAAAGAACAGAACGCTGGAGAGTATCATGACATTTTATAACTCACATCCAAATGGCCAACCACATGCTTGCTATGAAGTCCATAAACGGCTGTGCTTTAAAGAATACTGTCTCCAGGGTCAGAGAGGGGAGAACCCAGAAACCCATGGGCTGACCAATATGTCAGAACTCATCTTTGTTGGCAGACTTTAGGACCCCATCAGTGCAACTGGAAACAGATGCTCACTGGGAACACACACACACACACACACACACACACACTGTTTATTTGCTTCCTCCCTATCTCTCTTCCTTCCCTTTACTCCTGCCAACTGCACATTGTAGAAGTGTAATATTCAAGGAGCCTGAGAATATACATCAAGTATCAATTATGATAGCAAGAAGAAGCAGCCTGAAGATTTTGAATGCCCTGGTTATAAAGTGTCTGTAACAATGAAGTCTGAGAGTTCAGGCTGACATTTTAAAGCTGACTGAGACAGAGAATTAACTCCAGTGGGTGCCACACAAGTGGACTAGTCTATCATTTAGAACAAACGCCAGCAGGGACTGAATTTTCTTGGCAGAAAAATGAAAACCATTAGTAATGTTCATTACCTTTCAGAGAACACAACGCCATATCAGTTAGAAAGCCTATTTTCATAAATGTTTTCCATCTCCACCTCTCTGCCCCTTTACTGACTGCCTGCAATTTCTTACATATCTGTGAAAAGCTCTGAGAAAAACCCATTAAACATGCCCTTTAATATTCACCTTCAAAATTTACTTTTTGAAAGCCTGAAAACAGGACATATGGTTTATGTGGTGGCTAGAGTCATGTACTGGAGATGCAAGTGAACACTAGCTGTATAGGGCTTTTAGAGTACAATTTCCAGTGTCAATTAGGTCCATGAAGACCTAGGACTCTTGTAAAAAAGTAAAAGATGCTCTTCCCAAAAGATGCAATTATCCAACACCCAACATACACACAGCCTACAAATGATGCTAGGGTTCAGACTTTTTAATGAGCTTATCTCTGGGAATGATGGGGTGGGAGTTGAGCTTTCACTTTTTATGCTCTTTCTCTCTGTTGTTGAAATTTTATTTACAATGATTCTGTTATTTATTACTTTTGTGAATATATATAACAATACTTTAAAAAAAGTGGTGTGGGGATGCTGTTGAAAATTAACAAAGAAGTCTAAAATGTAGGCTTAAGCTTTTAAGACTAATGTACTCATCAAAACCATAACAAACAGTACATGTCCAGAACCTAGCATAAATGGTATAACAACACAAGGAAAGTGTTGGCCATGAAGTTGGTAATGCTTACATTCTGTCCATGACTCAGATGGGGTGGGAGGGGGGTTGAGAGGGAGTCATGGGTCACACTGGAAAGGCTGAGTGGCCCCAACTGGAGTGGGCCTGAAAAGCAAGGCAGGGAAGTTGACAAATTGATTTGGTGGGAAGTAGGGAACCCTTAGAAGATTGGGGTCAGGGAAGGATGGGAGGAAGGCTTTGTGTTTCAGGGCTGAAACTCATCAAGGAGCATTCAGGAGAACATGTGTGTGTCAGCATGAGGCCAGGGCAGCCTGCCTGAGGCTGGAACAAGGGAAACAGATAAGAAGCAGCTGTTGGGGGAGGAGGGGACTATTTGGTGGGAGGATTGGGGGGGGGGTGGGGTGCAGGACAGGCTTGTCAAAACCATGTTATTACTAGCAGAGAGGTTGCAGTCAGGGCACAGAATGCTCAAAACTTTCCTGGATCAAGGAGGGGAGGTAGAGCACATGATAAACCATTGAACAGCTACTAAGAGAGCAGATTGTGGTGTCACCCAATTCTCATCTTGCTCACATCACTACAGCCTGAGCAGTGCCTGGCATGGGCACATGGGCTGGCACACTCCAGCTCTGGTCTCTTGCCCTTGTGAGTGCATGATCAGCAAGAGTAAGCAATGAGACTTAGGAGTGAGGCAATTCCAGTGCTGGACTTAACAGGAAATCTGATTCCATACAGAAAAGGCAGGGTTCCATGGCTCATTTCCTTTCTCTTTGCTGGGTGTGCATGCTGAATTTGCCACAGTTGCACAGCTGACTCCTCAGTTCCAGCCAGAGAACTTAAAGTGAGACTCTTAAAGAACTCATGGGTACTTTGGATTCTAATTCTTTTTCCAAAAAGGTATTTGAAATGGCACTCCTCAAAGGAAGGTGTACTTCTGGTCTGTCCCCAGCTAGAAACCTCTCAGACTGACCAAAGGGCCAGAAGCAGGGCCTGTGGGATATCTTGAGGCCTCTGGGGCACTGCTCAGAACTGCCTTCTCAGAGTGGTTTCAGGCCCTTCTAGAGCCTATAGTCATAAGATATGAGACAAGAAGCCTTCCCACCTACTGAGGTCCTTTCATTCAGTGGTACAGAGCACCACAAACAATGAAAGATGGCAAAGAAAAAAATAAGAGACATTTCTTTTGTGTGTTGCTTTGTCAACCATTTCTAGATATGCATACTCTGTGCTTATAGCTATATGATCTGTTTTCCATATTTCCAATGCATAGGGTTTCTGTTGCAGTGCCCAGTGTACTGCTGAAGCTTAATACTGTACTAAATTGGTAATGAACTACTTGGGGGTGGGGTGGGGCGGGGGGTGTTTCCTCCAAAAAGCTATCAGTGTCACTTTTCATATTGGCCAGCAGAGGTCAGTGCGAAAATATAGTGGCTACAGATAATGAGGTGGGTGGGTGGGCCTTGCTACAGAGAAAAATAAATCAAACCTGTGTCACAGAAGTTACAGAATATTCAAGCAGGAAGGGCCCTTAGGGACCATTCCATCCAGCCTCTATTTTATACATTTCGAAAAAAAGAAGCCAAGAGAAATGACTTGTTTAGGTCACAGAGCTACTGAGGAACAGTGTGGGTCTCTAACCACATTGCCCCTGCCAGTGTGTGGCTCTTTCCCTGTTTGCCAGTGGCAGATGTCCTAGGGGGTCCTTGAGTCTCGCTCCCTAACCCCAGGCCTGCCCCTGGGACTTTCCCCATTAGTAGGCTGCAGCAGCCAGATGCTCACACATCATTTCTCTCTTCCTAACACTGATCATTTCACAAAACAATCTGAAACACAATCACTGTTTGGGCTGCTAGCAGAATTTCAATGGGCTTGGACCAATGCCCTACCCTGATACATGTCATTTATTTGGGCAAATAGACCCAAAGAGGGCAGAAGGGACACCTCCAAGTCTTTCCAACAAGCTCTTCTGACTCCATCTGCTCAGGATTTTTCATATACACATCAGGGTCTAATTCTCCAGAGAATGAGCTGGGACTTGTGCCTAAGGCCAGAAACTACAGGTTCACAACTGCAGCCCAGGCTGGCTGCCTTCTGATGACTACAGTGGGTTGGGGTCAGTATGTATGTATATATATATAATCAGACCACACACACCCATAGCCCCAGTCCCAGCCCCAGATAACTGGAGTAACAGACCCAGAAATATGTCTGCATATAAAGTAGTACACATATGCAGAAATAGCATCTAAGAATCTGAAAAGCACATGCTTCAAATTAGGTAGGATTGTGAAACTGATAGGGGGCTGACTTTTCATTATGAGGGCCTTTCCTGCCTTTTTATCCCTTCCCCAATTTTCCAGTGTCCTCCTATGAAATTAAAATTTGTTCTTAAGGAAGAATTTGAAACTCATTCCCACTGAGGCATAAATGACTGACAACAACTTAGAGCTTTACTTCTCAGGGGGATTTGCATTTTAATGGAGAGTGAAGCATTAAACTAGGGGATGCAAATGATATTTATGAAGCATAACAGAGACAAGGGGTGGGCACAGGCTTTCCTAAGGATCCAGTTATATTACAGGAGATGATGCAGTGCTGTTAGGTGGTGACATGGAGCAGGCTCTGGAGTCAGACAGACCTGGATTCAAATCTCCTAACTGCCATTTGAAAACTATGTGACCTTCGTGAAAGGAGTTAAAGCAGAATTAGGTAGACAGGGTAAGGGGTGGAAGAAGAAGGAATCATGGAGCTAGCTGAAACCACAAAATGTTTTGCAGAAAAATAGGATTTTGAGACAAGGATGTTTTTCTTGCAAGTGAAAAATAAAATGTTGCAAAAAAGGCCAGGAACCAATCAGATAGTGGCACAAATAGACAAAGACCAGGCCTTTAGCAGGTATAAGGGGAAGAGCAGAATACTTCTATGTCGATCCACGTGGATCCCCTCCCTTCCCGAGCGGGGAGCCTGTGTTTGCTTGCAATAAATTCCTGCCTTGTTTGAACTCCTCTGATCAGCGGCTTCATTCATTTTTTTAAATGTTTTTATTGATTTCAGACAAGAATGGAGTGAGAAAGATAGACACATCAATGATGAGAGAGAATCATTGATTGGCTGCCTCCTGCATGCCCCCCACTGGAGATCGAGCCCACAACCGGGTATGTGTTCTTTTTTTTTTTCTCTCCCCTTCAGGTATGTGTTCTTGACCAGAATCAAACCCGAGATCCTTCAGTCCACAGACTGATGCTCTATCCACTTAGCCACACTGGCCAGGGCAGTGGTTTCATTCTTTGACTCCGTAAGACATGACCCTGGGAAGAATTCCTGCTCACTGGTTCTGGTATCATTAGGCAAGTGACTTAACTACTCTAAGTTTCTAGAGCTTTGAGCAATAATAGCTCTGGTGTAGG